ACAAAATATATTTTATGTCTTTATCCACTTGCATGTCATATTTTATTTAACAGAGTATCAAACTCATGTATTTTAATGAATAGAAATAGCACTAACTTCCTCTAGATTTTGTTAATTTACTCTAAAGCGTAATTCTTACCAAATAGATAATTTACCATGTTTTACATAATAAACGCACACACGCAGATATATACACACATGCACACACACACACACAACATTTATAACTTAGAAAAACAGTATTTTTTAAAAAATGTGTTTGGATAGGGGGAACAATGTCAACATTATGGCTTGTTTTCATTTATTTATTTTTTTTCCCAATGAGGCTTTGAAAGGAGATTTTTAAAAATTCAGTTGAGCACATAAATATAGGTAAATAGAGCATGTTCAGCATATGAATGGAAATAAAGTTCTTGTTTTCTATTGAATGAGAAAAGTGTTTATACTTGAAATTGATATTGAATTGAGCTTTGATGCATTAGAAGTGACTATAGTGGAATTCCTTTTCCCTAAAGATGGAATATATGACAAACAAAAAAAAACACAGCTGCCTTTTGCCTCAAATCCTTTGAACTATTACATTTTATATACCCCTTTACATAAAAAAAATTTTAATTGGGGGAAAAATAATAAAGCAAGAACAAAAATGATAGTGACAAGGAGAAAACCAATGTAATGTTCTTTTTGACTATTACAAAAAATAATAATAATCGACCTTTTTTTCAAATTTAGAGTGTTTCTTTAAGACAACTTCATATAATTCAAAGGCAGCTAGTACCATCCTATAAGAAGGTTGATAGAAGAGTTGATTACCAGAAATAGGGGGAAAGCACAATTAAAAATATTATACAAAGAGGAGAAAAAATAGTAGGAAGTCATAGCAAAACAATAAAATGAAATCCTAGACTCTTTCACACATACCACCACCATACCTATAATTGCCCTCCACCCCTACTCCCACCACACACACAGACACACACACACACACACACACTATATAGCACTAGTAGAATAAGGAGTAGGGAATGACTAAATTCTATGAGAGCTGCTGCTTGGGTCATCCTTCAATCAATACACAATCTCTTTGCATTTGAGAAAATTGCAGGGCTGGTTTTTCCTTATCTAATTTATATAATTCATTTTCCTTCCATTTGCATAACCATTGTCTAACATTATACCTTTATTCTCCATGCATTTTCAAGGTGCATAGGCAAGTTATTCAGGGAGAGGAGACAGGAGCATTTATTAGGTTGAGAGATTTTTCTCAGTGCATAATTAGATAGCTACATCCTGTAGTGAATTCACATCTATATAACATGAAGGTTTAAAACACTGACTTCGAAATAATTGTTCCTAGTATGTTTTGAAATCATGTGTAGAATTAATATCAAATAGAATTGTCTAAGTCACAGTTTACATTAAAGTTGTTTTCCTGAAGCAACACCTAATTAAAACAGCCTAAAGTAGTTCCACTTAGGCACCAAAATGGTTAGTGCATCTTTGGCAATGGTTTAGTAAATAACCTATACATACACATTGATAAGTGAAGGATTTCTTAAACCAAGTGAATTCTGAAAAGATACCTGATTAAAATAACAGACAATAGGATAGATCATATAAGAAATTATGTGACTATGGTTAGGGAAGTAGTGAGTTAACTTTCAGAGTACTCTTTCAAGGTACCATTAACTTAAGAAGTACTACTTTACAGAATTAAGAGAGCACACTACAAAACAATATATCCTTGTCTAGTTCATTATTTCTTTCTTTGAAAGGCTTACATGCAAAATGGGATTTCAATTGTGACCACTTCAGACTTCCCAATTTTTATTCAACGCACAATTAATCCTTTCTGTGTAGTGCTTTGTGTTCTCAAACGTGAGGCAAAGCAAGCACAAGTGCATTTAAATTGAAAACAAAAAGGTTACTATGGACTTTTGTTGCCAAAAGATTCATTCCTTTATGAATATTTCATTGGAACAAACATACATTAAATCAAATCAAAAGGTATTGCTGGAGAAAGTATGAAAATCTGAGCAGAGGTGGTACTGATGTAAGAACACCCTCTAACAAAAGTAATTATCCTCCTAATTTTTTTTAAACTGGGGCTAAATGAAGACATAAACAACAAATTATGACACTTAAGCATACATAACTAGAGTTTATGGGAGGCTTGGGGGTCCATAGAGGCCTAGCACCTCTGATCCTACTCCAGTTCCCATAAGACCAATCTTCTGATCACTCACTTGTGGTCACCAAGAAGAGGGTTTCAACTAGAGCAGAAATCTCAAGTCACCAGAACAAAGGAAGTGGCAAGTGGTAAATAATAAAAGAGTAGAGGAATGTGTCTGAAGTTAGCTCTAGTGGCTTAGTTAGGCACAAGAAGTGAAATTATTTTAAAATTTTGGCTAGGGCTACTCTGCCCTCTGCTTTAGTCCAAAAGAACAAATGGAAACCAGCTTCTCACTTTGTAAAAGATGGCCCAAGGCAGGGCTTCACGATTCCTTGTGTAGGATTCTCAAGCCCCTGAAGGGTTGGGGGTGAGGAAATCAGAGGAAGCCTGTGCCCACCATGAGTGGTGGTAAGTCAACCAGCTCAGTCCAGGGAAATGAGCTTTCCATGTCTTAGCCATGGTATGAATCAGATAGCAAACATCTTCCCCTTCACTCCCCAAATCACCTTCCAAACTCTACCTAGAAAGGTTTCTTTGCCTTCTTTTCTGTACCTTACTAGCTACGGGAATCTGGCTCCCTCATCAAGCTCACAGGAGCCCAGAGAGGCTAAGGGATAAAGCCCTTGTTAGTGTATTGGATTGGGCTGAGGCAGTTTTGCACACAGACAAGGAATATTGCTCTAATTTTATTTTTAAAATTAAATCCCTAATATCGGAGTTGCTTTGGGGGGATGATTCTTCTAAAAGACAATTGCAGCAAAAATCTTAGTTCCAGTTTTGAAATTCTAGTTAATTGAGATTTTGCCGGGTATATATAGAGATCACATAGAGATATCACATATACCACCTAAAATTAAAGGGGTCAATGTTGAGCAAAATTTAAAAATAATTTATTTTAAAACATTAAGATGTTTGTGCATGCTTGAATGTAGAAGAGCTTAAAAACCCTCCTTTTCTTAAAAGCTAAGTAGAAATGTTTTATTTAGCTTATTTATTTATTTTTCCTAAATGTAGTTTAGACTTCCATATTTTCCAAAGTAGCTTTCTCTTTCTCTCTTTTTGGTATAGCATGAGAGGCACCTCTGATATAAGAGTCTGAAGTTTTAGTTCCATCTCTTTTGTTTTGCAAGCTAACAGAAAAATGCTTAGATCATAAAGGAGGGTAGGGAGCATGAAAGGGGTAGGAGCAAGGGTTCCTTTGTGCACGTATCAGCATGGAATCATATAATGCACATTAGACAATGATCAATTCATACTTAAAAACCAATTTTAGCTTTAAGGCTTAAAATTCCTCCTTTCAATTACTTCTCAAGATTCCCTTTTTTCAATATGGTAAGCAAATATTTTGGTGGAAATTTATATTTATAAATTAGACATGAAAGCATTATGATATAGATATGTGACATAACAGAACAGTCTGCTAACCAGGAACCCAGTGGACTCCTTTTTTTTTATAGACATCCATAGAATGATGAAGGAACCCTACTCCATTAGAGTTTCATGATTTCATCAGCTATACCATGCACAAGTCACAGGTAAGGATATCAAATACTTAACCAGTCTTTACTTTTGAAGAAATTTCCTTTTAGTTATTTTTGTATGAATTATTTTGTCTATGTATTTGGCAAACAAATACTTAGAAAATATCAATGAAATGGTATCTCAAGATTTCATCTGGGTTAAATCCTTGCTTTTTTTCAATGTTTATTAGGTAGCCCCAAGGTACAATATGGAAATAGTCAGCACTGGGTTAATACCCTACCTGCTTTTGTCATATAGAAGATGGTTATACATACCAAAGCTAAATATTTTTAAATGTCTGAAAAAATATTTTACAAGAAATGTGTGTGATAAATATACCAAGGATATTATGTTATACGTCCAAGAAGGAACATGAAAGAATTTTTCAGTTTAAATGAACTAAGAGAAACTTATGATGGAGCTTTTCATTTGGGGAGTCAGGTACTAGTTTTATTATACAATGGGCCGTAATAAGATGAGAAAGATTTCTTAACTGATATACCTACTGCACATGATTTACTGAAAGAAAACTAGCTTACATAAAATGTACATTGGTGTTGAACATGGCACAAACACAATGTATTCACATCTACAAGTTCTTAACCACAGGATGTTTAGATAAAATAAAACACTAAACAATAGAAAAAAAAACAAAAAAAATACTTGGGGAGTAATAAATTAAATTGTTTTAAAAACTAATATTGAGGTTGTTCAAGTGTTAAAAGTATTAGATGTGTCATGCAACAAAAAGAAAGTCAGTTCAGGCAGGAGCATCGTGCACTGTACTTTGTACCCACGGTATTTGTGGAGTTAACTCTATTCCCTTGACCACTGCATTCTGGGCTCCTGAGGCAATATCGATCTCATGTGCAAAACCACAAGACTTTAATCTCACTCCTCTGAATGGAGATTCCAAGGAAGAACCTCTGCCTCAGATCCGTCAAAGTGAAACCTGTCTCCACATAACGATATGCTGTTGCATTGTAGGAAAGCCACGTTAGGCCAGGATTAAGGACATTCTCCACTTCACATCTCCATCTTTCACACATTGTAGTTTACTGTGCTCTAGATTTTCTTCAACATGTGCACATTGAACACGCCAGGTCTGCACAATAAGAAAATGGCTTCACAGAATGTACTGGGTGTTTTTTTTTTGGCACAAAATCTTTTTTTTTAACACCTCCAACCAGGCTTTTCATCCACAATATAAACAAACCCACCTACATGGGGTGTACTAGTGCTTATTTATCCACACAGTAAACTACAAGGACAGCAAATTGCCTCTGATAATTTTGCATTTACTAACAATTCTCCCTCTTTCAAGAAGTAGCACCAGTAGGATTACACCTCAGACAGTAGAGTGCTCTTTCCTAGCTCCTTAATTCCCTGAAGAATTCGCTTCATATGACCCACTTTCGTTATCCCCAGATCCTACAAAAAAAGAGAGAGAGAGAGAAAGAAAGAGAGAAAGAAGAAAGTTTATTGACAGGAGAAAACTTACAGTGAAACATTCAATTTGGTGAACAAGACTGGACCAACACTGAATCTGATGAGTTCTACGTTTAATGGTTCTGAATGTGGAATTAGCAAGAAGCAAGAAAAGGGTTTACAAAATGAATATTTTACCTAATTCACTGTGAAATCACCAACCTGTGACTGCGGTCCTCTGAAGAAAATACCTATAGGAGCTTTGCATTAATTCTTTAACAACTCTGTTGGCAGATCTTCAAGATTCCAGGTATGGCTTAATTTCCCCCTTCTAAGCATAGGGATCTCTATGAGAAAATGATGTATGCTGTTGGCTCTGATGCCTCTATAGCCTCATACATTTTTGCAGAAGCTCAAGTTCTATGCTTCAAAAGTGAGGCAAAATAGTGTGAAAAACAGACGCCAATTTCTGCAACTGTTCCTAAATGTTCATGGAGAAATAATATTTGGCAGTAACCTTTGATTACATACAAAAAGAAGTTTGATTGTTATATCAGTGACTATGAATGACTATGAATGAGTACAGATAAGTTTTTCTACCCTTCCTAGGGAAGCACTTTTAATGCTGGGCTTTTGACTATTTCCTCAAACTCCTCATTTCTCAATAATGTTTTTTAATATAACATATCAATGTTGAACTTTCATAGATGTGTGACTGCTGCTGGTCCAAGATAGGCGTAATTTCCCATATCTGAAATACTACCACACCAGAAGCTCCCCATGTTGACGAAACCATGTTTTCTCTTTGAGAATGTGAAAACCTATTGTACTAGATTTAATCAATCAATCACTGATGATTGATTGATTTTTTTTGAGAAAGTAGATACTTTTTTATACTTGGTTAATCCTCATATATTACTTTGTGGTATAATGAGTTGTTTTCTTAATAAAGGTCATACTGAACTGCTTACCTAAATTTCCTTCCTATAGCTGGAGTCCACTGTAATTTGAACTTCTCTCAGTGGACTCCTGTTGAGCTATATACAACCCATGAAGACTTTCTTTCTTTCTATATATCTATCTATAGATATATACACACAAATATACATATATGTATATATGTGTGTGTGTGTGTGTGTGTGTGTGTGTGTGTGTGTATATATATATATATATATATATATGGTTTTTATTTTAATTTTTAGCTCTTAGAGTAACCATATGCAATCTTCTAAGTTGTGGTACTTCTTTGTAAGAACTAATTCCAAACATTTTGTTAATGTTTAAAATGAGACAACCACTTAGCAAATTAGAAAGTCAATGAAATGACTTAAAAACCAATGGCTTCAGGCAGCATGCAAAGCAATTTAAGTAAGGTTAAAAGGAAATGCAAAGTCATTTGTCCAAATATAATGAATATAGGAATACTCCAAATTTCTACCCAATTCTCTAAAACTCATAGCCTGATCCATTCTTTAAAACTCCTTAAATGTGATAACATTTACCTTGCAGCCATATTTTTTAAAAGCATCAACAAACCCATAAAAAATTAATGAATCTTTTTTATATTACAATAGAGATACTTCTGATGGCCCTGAGCGTTTCCAATAAATGTTACTATTTTCAAATATCTACAACTATTTTCAAGCTTGAGATCAATTACAGATCAGTTCCTATAAAACTTTTTTAGTATGTAATTGACCCATCAAAAAAATTTTTAAATGTTTGCTTTGCAACTCTCCATATATATGTTATTTTCTTTAGAGGTAGCACATAGCATTAACTAATAGAGAGAGTACTAGACTTAGAAAACATTGGGTTCAGATCCTACAGCTAAGTGGCTTCAGAAAAGCCATCTCATTTCTCAGTGTCTAAGCTAACTCTCTCGAACTTAATCTACTCAGGCAGCTTGGTGGGGGAAGCTACCACATCAGAAGCTCCCCATATTGATGAAATCACACGTTTTCTTTTTCATAATATGGATACTTTTTACACTGTGTGTGTTAATCCTCTTATAAAGTATTATGTGGTAGCTGAGTTTTCTCAGTAATAGTTGTACAGACTGATTACTGAATTTCCTTTGCTATAGCTGGAGTCCATTATAATTTGACCTTCTCTCAGTGGACCGGTTGAACTATGTAGACTGCTTATCAAACGTCTCACATTTTCCTCAGCTCTGGACCATGGCTTCCTTATTCCTTATTCATTTCACCAGAGGTATGTTGTTAAGGCAAGACAAGAACTGCAGGTCCAGTACCATTGCCTCCCTCTTTGTTCAAATGGTCTCACTTGTGGAATCATTCTTGTTGATAGCAGTAACTATCAATACTGTGACAAGTGCATGAGGCAGAGAGGTAGATTTTGCTTACAGTGCTTGCCAGATTTTTATATCCTCCAATGAGAAAAATCCCAGAGCACAAATGTTTATATCAAGCCCAGAAAAAGTCAATGAAATTCCACTTAACACTTAGTTATCTTTCATTTAACACTCATTATACTATTGACAGCTACCCAGAAAGTACAATTTGATAGTCACTATTTACCTGCCTTATCACTATTATACCTAGAGAATAATACTTCTAATGCTTTAATTAGTTTGATTAATTACACTCTAGAAGACTGTGAACCTTACAATTTTTCTCTTCCTTAAGATCAGCTTATCATCTTTAAGAAGGAAATAAAATGTTAGTATGATTTTAACAGACATGTATTAGCTACTGCTCAGCACTTTATTTCCAAGAACTCTTAAACTGACTTTCTGTTAGAAATAAAACAAAAATCTTTCAAAGGTTCTCTTGGACTAAGGGACTGACTGTCCTTGGGATCCTCAGGTTACATTTAGACCACATATTTTCCTACCATTCAGTTCCCAAATCTAATAGGAACCTAAGCACTTAAGGAGTATAAATGATACCTAATCTCCACTAGACAGTGCCAAATGAATCTCAAAATAGATGGCTTCAAAAACATTTCTCAGCACTGTATCATTTAAGACAGGATTATTTGAAGCATTTCCTATTCTTGTGAACTGAGCTTATGGAAACCATTATAGCTAAAACTGATTTATACTTCTCTCTCTGAGACTTACACAAGGATACACTATTATGTTACTGTCACAGGGTTACTATGAGGATCAAATAACATCATATACGTAAAGCGTTGTATAAATGTTAGATATTATTATCATCCTCTTAGAAACTGAAAACATGCATACAGATGCTAAAATGACAATGCTTTTTGAAAATTTTACTGTATTTAAAGAGCCTTTCTAACAAGTATAACTAGAATCACTGATTTTTGAAAGTTGGAAAGGATTTAGATGGCATCTAGTCCATCTCCTTAAATTTATGGATAAAGCAACTGTGGCTGAGAAAGCTTATATGCCCATAGTCATGTAGTAGCAGAGCTGAGGCTAGAATTCAGTTCTCCTTATTCTCAGGCCTAGTCTTTTCCATTCTTCCTTGCTGTCTTCCAAATGAACACTTTTTTTCCTCACTTACTTTCCCCTTTCTCCCTTAATTTCGAAAAGGAAATATAGTTTTGCTTTTCCCCTTTCCAGCCAACAGGTATTAGCAAGAACAGACAAAATCTCTAAAGCACTCATTCCCATAGTAATTTGGACCCCTCTGCATTTTGCTGTCATGTCTCTTTCTTGTTCTCCTCCTACTTGTCTGACCTCTCCTTGGTCTCCTTTGCTGGATTTTTAAATCTTGCCCATTAACTGCTGGTATACCACCAAAGTACTCTCCACAGTCCCTTTCTCTTCTCTCTACGCTGTCACTTGGTAATATTATTAGTTCAGTTATCACCACTACCCGGATGACTCCCAGATTGATCAATCAACCTAATATATACATAGACATTCACATACATTTATACATATATACATGCATGCACATATAATCTATACCTACAACCATGCATACAGGTCCATATTACCAGCTGCCTATTAGACATTTAAAACTGGATGTTCCATAAGCATCTCAAACAACACATCAACAATGCAGAGAGGCGGTGCAGTAGATGGGATAGAGTGCTGGACCTGGAGTCAGAAAGAACTAAGTTTAAATCTGGTCTCAAACATTTACTAGCTGTGTGACCCCTCACAAGTTACTTAACCTCTTTTATATAGCTACCAATGTGATTTTCTTAAAGTGAAGGTGAGACCATTTCAGCCCTCCTACTCAATAAACTCCCTATCGCATCCAGGATCTAACATTAACTCTTTCGTTAGGCATTTAAGGACCTTAGCAACCTTTCCTTTCATACTTTCCTGATGTCTTGCACGATGCCCCCCTCTACGAACTCCACAATTTAGCCATGCTGACCTACTTGCCATAGTCCTCACACACAATGCTGCATCTTCCATCTCCCTGCCTTTCCACTAGCTGTCCCCCACATCTAGCCTCATCTCCCTTCGCACCTTGCCTCCTTAGAACCCCCGAATTTCTTCAAGCCCCTGCTCAAACACCACCTTTTGCCAGACACTTTTCCTGGTTTCCTCCTATGTTAGAGATGTTAGTTCCTATCAAAAGTTACCTTTCATCTACTCTGTATGTATCATGTATGTACCTATTTATATACATTGTTTCTCTCATTCAGTTTTAAGCACCTTGAGGACAAGGGTCATTTCTATTTTCCTTTTATCTTCCACAGCATTTAGCAGGGTGTCTGGTGTGCAGTAGGTGCTTAATAAATGCTTGTGCAGTGATTGATTATTGGACATAAATATATTGATGGAATCCTTAAATTCTGGTCCCAAAATTCTGGGCATCTGGGATATCTCCAGAATGAAGGAAAAATGCTATATCAAAATAAATAAAAATAAGTTCATTTTCATAACAAATAATTACCATGCACATCATTCTAACAAATGATTTCCTATATTTTGTGGGAAAATAATTAACAATATAGAAATGTCCTCGGGGACCCTTACATAAACTCTGGAACTTCCGTGATAGTACAGAAAAAGAAAGATATACAGAAAAAGATATCCCTATCCTCATACTATCTCACATAATACATTGAATTTTTTTCATATATGAGGGAGAGAGCTACATGAAAGTCTGGCAGAACACAATGATTTTCTAAGAACTAGATGAGAACAATCAAAGAGGTATTAAGTATGCTTAACTAGCCCCTTTTGTTGAAAGTAAATGTAAAAATTCCTAGCCCTTGTTCACACCTCTGGCCATCATTAACAATTCTTCCAAGACTCAGGTCTAGAGGGTACAATCATTGCCTATGGCCACACCAACAAGCCAGGAAGGGGTAATCAATCTGAAGCAGCAGGTTTTGCTGTTGGCAGAACAATATTCATTTAATTCTTTGCATTATTATTGTACTTTAGAATTAAATTATCCAGGCAAAAAGAAAATTCTATATAAAACTTTTAAAGTCTAACTTCCTTTCACAGTGAAAAGACAAATTTAGCAATCCCAGGAAATGATGAGGATCTATATTTCCTTTTTGAACACTTTTACTAGAGCATTTGTCAGGTTCTCCTAATATCTGTATAAACAAAGGTATCACTCCATTATCAAGATACAGTGAAGGCAGAGTTGTGATTTCATCATGCAGTTGATTTTAAGATGCATTGCATCTAAAGGTACTGACCATTTGTAATTCTTAATGCCAATATAAGCAATGTATACTGTTACAATATGCAAGGAGACTTTTTTCTTACTTGTCTATCACTTAAGCTAGCAAAAATAATGGCTAATTATCATTAGATCACTTGTAATGAGAAATGTAACCTTATACTCACCCTTATACTCACTAGTTGTGGGCAAATCATTTAAACTGCTATACAAATATGAGCTTTTAAGAATCATTAGCAATGATAAGGTTACTGGACCTTATTTTCCTCCATCTGTAAAGCAAAAATAATGCTTTTCCTACCTACTTCTAAGAGTTATGATAATCAAATGAGATGATGTATGTAAAGTTTACTGCAAAACTCAGTGTCACGTGAATGTAAGAATAAGAAAAAAACAACTTAAATTTTTAGACACTTTCTTCTCTCACAAATCTAGAATAATTAGGATGTTTCTAATGCTAATTCTCAGTTAAATAGTGTTTGTCTGTAAACTGAAGTATAACTATTATCTATCCCTATCACTTTTGACAACTTAGTTCCATGTTGTTTTCTTTAAAAAGAATCATAATTTTGATTTAGTTTGTTAAAGAAAAAATGACTTTGTAAGTAATTAACTGATAAGAAATTTGAATTTATTGATATTCTATTAACATGATTCAACAAAATATCAGCTTTTGCTCTCAGATAAATAAGATCTGTATGTGGCTATTGTTCTAACTCTTACCCATTAAGTCCTTATGTACACTTACTAAAATGCTTAATGACTATGAGCAAAATTTCATCTCCTGACCTTATATAAGAAGACTTTAAGATCTTTCACCAGCAGCTGTCACCTTCCAAACTGATCCCCATGCAATAAGCTCAAGCAGGTAAGAGTGCAGTCATAGGTGCTGCTGTTGCTGAGGGAAATGATTATGTTCACTGAGCCTCAGCTACATTATCATTCTGTGTGAAGCATTTGATAAGAACATATTGCTGATATCCTCAGCTTCAAGTACAGTGCAACTCAGAAAGAGCTCAGGCCACAGGAAGGTGTGGATTAGTTTATTGCATATTCACACAAGGTAAGCCAAGCTACAAGCACATAACAAAAGGCAAACAGAAGAAGAAGTTAAGGTTTAAGAAAAATCTTAAGAGCAGAAAAGTAGCACAAAGGAAATACCTTAAGATCTCGCCTTTCCAGGTGCAAAAGCTCAGCCCCTCGGATGTCATGGCGGATGAAGATTTCTGTGTACTCTCCCAAATTGAGCTGATCCAGCCAAGCAGCAACTTCATCTGTGCCCCACTTTTGAACTACCAAAGTTAAGAGCAAAACCCCCTTAATTTCTACATGCTCAATGCATCACAAGCAAAGGATGGCAAAAGAGAGAGGAGAACAGAGTAGAACTGCAAGAGCTAGCCAAGGAAAAGGGTAAAGGTATCATCTCCACAAAACTGGACAATTTCCTGGGTTTTGTTTTTTCCATGCAGGTTACAGATTAGCAGTAAATATGAGAAAATATCTATCCAAAGACAGGGTTCATTGCCTGGCAGCCGTGCTTTCAGCTTTAGTCCAATTTCCTCATTAACACTGCCCAAACTACAGGAGATGTATCAAAACTTTACTTTTTTACCATTAGGATCAGTGATACAAGGGCCAAATGAGTACTGATTACTTCTTAATGACCATTTATAAGCTCCATTATCAGTAGAAACGAGCTATAAGTTCTAATTAGAATATAAAATCTGATATGGGGGTTTCAATTTTACAGAAACTTTGTTGTGATTATACTCTTGTTGAATTCAAATCTCTTCCACCTACTGATTTCTCTAATATCCCTAATTAAAGCAGCCAATACTCTGTTAAATCAATTTAACAGGCCATTTAAAAGCTTTGTCAGCACTACACTCTGAGGTTAGTCGTGTTATATTATTGTTTAGTACAGGATGATCATTCTCTTGTATATTTTATTAAACATTGGTTAGCTTCAGATTAACCTACTCATGTGCCATGTTGTGGTTTTTTTTTAATTAGTTCTTAGACAACTGTTTTATAAACCTCATCATTAAGACTTTATGAGCTTTTTTGAGTAAGAGGCTAATTCAAATAGGTAATGAATTTGTTTGGTTGTAAAAAGGCAGCTACTACCAGAAAGGTCAGCTCTTATTTGTAGTTTAGGCATATAATGTCATTAGGTTCAATCTCCAGGGCTGAATGAAAGGAAAACTGGAAAGAGAACAGCAAAGAGATTGTTTAATCTTTACTTTACAAACACAGGTGCTACTGTAGATTGCCATCAGAGACAGCGTTTGTGTGTGTGTGTGTGTGTGTGTGTGTTGGGATGGGGAAACAGCAGAGTAAGATTCTACACTTGAGAGGAAAAAGAATGTATGGCTATTAGGGAAAAATATTTAGTAGGTTAAAGGAGCGGATGAAAGCTGCTATATACTCCATTAAAGGACTCTAGAGTGTGTGTCTAGACTTCCCTTTGAAGTGGAAAGACAAGTCACATACCTGTATCTTAGATTGCTGTTTCGGAGGATAAAGAACCATCCAAATACAAATACACTAACATCCACCAAGCAAAGTACAGGGCAAAAAAGTGGTTACCTTATTTCCTTATATAGCTGATAAATGTGGATGCCCAGTGAATCCTTTCTACATATTTTAAGTGCAACATTATTTTCATCAGATCTGTTACAATGAGAATGTGCTTTTGCTTGTCACATGGAGCACCTACCAGGCAATGGGCTCGCCTTCAGCTTCTGGACTTTCTCCTTCTTAAATTTGGGCACAATGCGAAACACGGTGCTTTTGTTTCTTTTTGTATAATCCAAAGGAGGATCCTGTTTGAAACAGATTTTAAAATGAGCCACTTCTATGATATTTTAGGAAGAGAATCTCACTGATAAAAAAAAAAAGACAATCCTTAGATATTTCCTGTGTCAATATTATGAAATGAGGGTAACTTTAAGAAATGTTCATTATCCAGTGATTGATTTAAAACATGTTTACATTCCTTGGCTATCTCTGTTTATACAAGGACTTTTTAATTCTTGTGCAGAAACAGGGCAGCTGGAAGTCAAAATTCATAAGTTTGCTCTGGTCTATGGAATAAAAAAAAACAAGATTATTCTTAACTGTTTTTTCTGTTTTATATCTTTCTTATTTTTAACGTGAAAAGAACAAATTTCATATGGAAATGAATCAAACTTCACAAACCTCATCATCATTTGAATGTAGGACGCAATAAAGCCATGGAATCTCCGCTAACTTCTGCAATTCCACCTCCACACCATGTAAAGCATTGGACACCAGTTCTTCATGCGGAGATTCCAACTGCTATTTACCAGAGGATTAAAAATATTCCTTTATCAACCTCAGAAGAAATACTTTGAAAATAACTTTGTGCAACTTTTATTAATCTAGTTAGCAACCAAAAAAAATGTTCTTTTCTAACTCACCCTATGAAACATAATAACCTTTCCACCCTTGCTCTAATCCTTGCTTGCCAATGATACCATCAGCAGCTGGTGTACCATTAGAAACCTCACAGGATAAATGTGCTGCTTTTTGACATTTCTATTCATGTGGATTGTTATTGGGTTATTTTCTTTATCTAGGAATTACTCTTCCTCAGACTGGCTAGACTATGGAAAATAAACATAATTCTCAAATAAGCAGCATAAAGGTCATCATGGTTACAGAAAATAATGATCAAGGACTTGCCTTAATGAGAACTGCTTGGCACAGATACCTTCTGGCAGGCTTAATAGAGCAAGTGTAAGAAAAATAAGCATAAGACTCAAAAATGTCTGGAGCAAAATTAGGGAGACTAAGGTGAAACAGATAAGGTGATATATAACTAGTCAAGTGATAGATTAAAATGAGCAAAAGAAGTACATCTGGATTCTATAAAAAATAGACAACCACCTTTTAATCATTGCTATTCCCAAGGCTCTTGGATTTAGAGTCCTAGACTACTTCCAAAATGGTTTAAAGGGAGATGGTAGTGTTTTGGATTGTCTGGAATATATTGACTCCTGTATCTCCCTCAGAGTGCCTTTTTTCAGCTAGCCTGGCTTGTCTGCCCCATGAGTGATAGTTGGTTGGTAGTTGGGGGGGGGAATAATTGGCCCCTTCTTCACAGGAACTGATTCCACAAATGATACTGATGAAGACTGGACTAGAAACTAGACCAGTGAGTGGATAAAGGGGCATGCCTGGAATCAGGAAAACTTCTGCTGCTCCTGACCCATACCATATGACCATGGGCAAATCATTTAATCTCTCAGGGAAATCTTTTAAAAGTATGAAGTTCTGTATGAGTTGCTAACTTGTAATAGTGACAAGAATTTCCACATTGAGAGTTCCCTAAACAAATGAAATCACTGGTCTGGACCAAAAAAAAAAAAAAAAAAAACCCCAAGCTAAACCAAAACAAAACTCAACCATACCCCTCCCCACCAAATGAACAAAACATTGTACATGCCAAGATGAAATGAGAGACAATCTCTGCTTTCAGCCTAATTGGGGGCAGGGGATAGTACTTGAATAAAACAACTTAATCATCATCTTTTGCCTGTGATACAGGCAAGTCACATTATATCAGTCAAGAACAGGTTTTCCTGAATTCCAAGTTTTCCTGATTCCAAGGCTTGCCCCTGCCCCTGTATCCACTATTCACTTTCTGCCTTGCACTTGACACATTACTAAATAAATGTTTGCTGAATTATCACAATAGGATTGGGATGAGGGATTGGTCATTTTGGACTAATTACACCAGTAAAACTGACAATGCATGGAGCTGATAACCATTACCATTGAATTACCCATGAGGCAGCATGAACCTCAACCCCAGGGTACTCACCATAATAAACTGTTTTAATACACTAAGTTTTCAGAAACATGAACTACTCGAGGATCTATACCTATCATAAGTCCTCTAGATTAGGAGAATAAAAGTACAGAAAAAGCAATGTTTTCTAGTACACTTAGCCTGCTGGAAAGTTTTAGAAACTGCTAGTTCTAATATCTCCCCCATACAAATCTTCATTCTAGTAACTGGGACCAAAGCCACATTTGACTGAAGTTGCAAGAAGTCACTGCCAGTCATTGCTAAGAAAGGATGATAAGGCTTCACAGCTGAGAATGAGCAAATGCCAGGTGGCACAGAATTCCATTTTGTCACTGCCAGTCATGTTTACCAAGAACAGGGCTGTTCCAGCTTCTGCAGTATGGTGGCTTTGGAGCCCTGCACAGTGATTCCAAAAGGAAATGCCTGTGCACACATATCTACACCAGGGCAAAGGAATGAGAAAGAAATGCCATCCTATCATGAGGACTGGCCCCAGGTTAGTTGGTTTCCTCTTACCTTAGCACTTATGTTCCTTACAGAACTCATCTTCCTTGCTTCCTTCCCTGTCCCCCTCACTTCCTTCTTTCCTTTTTCCTTCTTTCCTTCTATCATCTCTATCTATCCATCATCTATGTAGCTATGTATCAATCTAAATATCTGTACATGCAAGTGTAAGAACATGTGTCCTTGAGTGCATGTGTGTGTGTGTCTTGCTTATGTGTACTTCTATCCCCAGCATCTAGCACAATGTCTTACATTCAGTAATCATTTATCTATCTCTTATCTATTTCTAGCTATCTATGATATATATCTGTAGTTAATTGTTAGTTATACTCATTCAATAAATATTTATTAAGCACCTACTATTTGTACTATACTGTACTGTGCTCAGCTGCTAAGTAAGATAAGGGATTGTGATTCATGGACTGTTGGTTCTACACTGGACCTTACTGACATCCCCAGGAACAAATCCTAGGATTGAGGTTCTTAACCTAGAGTCCATGAACCTGTTTAAAAAAAATTTTGTAATTGCATTTCAATATAATTGGTTTCCTTTGTAAGCCTACATATTTTAAAACATTATTCTGAGGAGGAGACCATAGGCTTCAACAGACTGCCAAAGGGGTCCATGACAAAAAAAAAAAGCTTAACAAGAACCCCTGTCTTAGGAAAATGAGACCGCATCTCCAAAAAAATTCAACACTCCAAGGTTCTTTTGGCACTATGCTTAGTCTAACGAATAACCTGTGCTTGAATATTTTACCTCTGGCCAAGACCAACCGTGTTTGGTTGCCCCTTCTGGGCAAATAGAGATTATGTCATTTATGTGTTTACTGTTAATTCAGTGAACAGTAACTTGGTCTTCTGGGCAAAGTGTTTCTGGGGAAACACTGTCAGGAGAAGGCTTATGTATTCTCAGGGAACACCCTGCAATTCAATCTACGATATCGTCAGGGCACAGCCTCTGGTGCAGATTTTTCTTGTTTTTTGCATAAGAATGATTTTCATTTACTAGAAGAAAGAACTTAGAAAAAGAGACAGGAAACACTTAAACCTCAAAAGCAAAGGTTCATCAGTGAATCTGAGGCCTTCAAGTGAATCCCTTCATCAATGCCCTAATATCAAACACTTCTTTCCCTCTCCTTACCAAAGGAACTCTCCCAATCAGTAAAGACTCCGTTTCATTATTTAATGCCTTCACATTGACAGCTATTTCAATGGCAGTGTCTCTGGTAAGGCTCTGGAAAAGAAGAAAGTCACAGAGATAAGTGGTACTGAATTAAATTGTGATTCAATCATCAGTAATCAGCAAAATATTGAGATTCTTAGCTAAATTGGCCTTATAATTTTCCAAAGCCATTTGAAGTACCAGGATTCTTTAGAATTTGCAAATCTGTCTCATCACATTTGCCTCTTTCTTCTCTATCTTATATCCATGGGTTACCTCCAGTAAATGTACTCAGTTCCCCACTTCTGAAAACACATTCTCTTGAAACCAAAAACCAATAAAAGGAAAGATAGAGTTAACTAAATTCTCAGTATTCTATCACCTGATTCTTATTCAGGTTTCTTCTAGGCCCTGAACATGGGGCCAAAATCTTGTTTTCAAGTCTTATTTAAGTAACTTATTTAAAAGCATGGCAGAATGAATAGAAGGCTGGCCTAGGAATCAAGAAAACCCAGGTTCAACTCCTGCCTTTGATACATACTTGCTGTATGACAGTAGGTAAGTCACATAACCTCTGAGTGTTCCAGATAACTCTCTAAGATGAGTTACTTATATCACTCAAATCATGGGTAAAAGAAAAAAAGAAAGATAAGTAACTTCAATTGCAGAAAATAATAAAAATAACAATAAAAAGCCTGATATTTACATAATTCTTTAAGGTTTGCAATGCACTTAAAATAATGCAGTGCAATGAATTATTTCATTTAACCTCGCAGTAACTCTGTCAGGTAGGTACTACAACCATTATGAGGAGATGAGGAAACTGAGGCTCAGAAAGTTAAATGACTTGGCTGAAGTCCCATAGCTTATTGGCAGGGGAGGGGGGGCCTGGGAGGGGGGAGCCTAACGATTGGGAAAGGGGAAGGCACTGAGATTCAGTCACTAAGAACCTATGAAATAAGAATTTGGGTAGCAACAAAATATGCATTAATGTAGATAGTGCCATGCTGAGGCTAATAAGACAGAGCTGTGTTGAGCTTGAAGGTTAAAAAGAATTGTTAACCTTAAAAGTGTTAAGGATCTTGTGTTAAATTTCACCTGTACCATGGGGGGCAGGGGGAGGGGGTTGTTTCCCAATAGAGAAATGGAATCATTCAGACATCTAGACAAAAGAGAGACCTACAAGGAAGAAATGGTTACTTCAGAGACCATAGACAAGACCTAGACAACTGAAGAAGGAAACAGGTCAATCTGGGGAAAAAAAAAAAAAAAAAAAAAAATCACCCAAGTGCTGAGTCAGCACTTGCCAGGCTGAATTCAGTGCTGACAGCGATGTACAAGCACACTTATGTTGTTGTCCTGGTAATGAAAGCCAGTCATGAACCAGTCCTATCTGAGCCATGCCAACTATGATAAACAATAAGGGTAAAATTTCTTGGAGGGTGGAATTAGTGAAGTTTGGGGAGAGATGAAGGATGATGATGATGCGTAGAAGTGTCATGGGTAGGTCAGGGAAAGAGAAAAGGTTAAAACAAATATATGCATTATAGTCTTGTAGGGAGAGGATTCAGGATATATATACACACAAGTATGTATGTGTGAATATGTATATATACACACATATACATATATATATACATACACATGAGTGTTTTCTCATAGCTATGCTTGCTAATAAAGTTCTCAGGTAAGATCTAGGTTCCTTTACTTTACTTCCTTTACTTGGGGCCATGGCAAAGGGGAAGGAGAAAGTCAACACAGCTAGTAAAGTGGGATTTGAACCCAGGCCTTCCAGATTCTAAAGAGCACTCTGTCCAGTATGACAAAAGAATGGAATCTTCTTATGATTTATTTTTATAATTCATTCAGAATAGTATCATCTTTCTAGAGGAGTTACATTTTAACAAACAAAAGCATTTTATCCATTTGGACAAAAGGCTATATATTTTGAAATTATAAAAAGTAACTATTTTAAACTTAATTTTAAAAATTAAACAAGAATACTTTCAGCCTACATCTTTGAGAAGTCCTTGATTCAAATGCTTAGGAGATAAAACCTGGGATGTTATTCATGTGGAATCATAGGGAAAAAAGGGAAGTATGGGAAAAAAAGTAGAGAAAATTTCTGGAGGGAGAGAAGAAAGGAAGGAATAGGAAGGAGGGAAATATGTGAAAGGTCACATTTAAAGGGTGAGCTATCAGAGAAGGAAATGGCAAAGCACTCTAGTATCTTTGCCAAGAAAACCCCAAATGGGGTCATCATGAGTTGGACGTGACTGAAACGACTGAACAACAACAAAATTATAGAGCTATACCAAAAATGGAATAGAAAGTATAATGGAAGGAAAGAAAATGGGCCAAAAATGAAGCCAAATACATCAATGCAAATCACACATTTCCCTCAAGATCCTGGCCATTCTTAAGCATGTTTTATTCTTTAGCTGTCAATAATGACCCTAACATGCTGGAAAACACAGTGAATTGAAATCTAGATAAAAGATTAGGTTTTATTTAACCATAAGAACTAGTTCCTTACCTCAGGAAACCTTGGGTTGGCTTTATTCAGGGCATGGGAACATGCATTCACAGCATGAGCTAATTCTTGCTCCAAAAGACTGTGAACTTTTGCTGCTTCACAGATTCTATAAACAAAGCAGAATTTTAGCAGCCTGCCTTTTAGAGGATCATTACTATGGAGTTTTTGTGGGATCAGGATGGGGAGACACATGAAAGTGTGGAAAATAGTAAAGTATTTAAACAAATTAAGCAAAACAATTTACTTTTAAGTCAAAATGCATCCATTATGAAAAAAATATACCTGTTTAAGCACCATGGGTTTAGCTCAAATTCTATTACAATAAGCAACTTCATAACAAAAAATATTTATACAAAAAATGTCAAGGCTTAATCAATGACTTACTTTTTCAACAATTATTTGATATAACATAAATTCATTAACTCTTTCTTTATCTTACCCCACTGGAGAAACAGTTGTACCATAAAACCTTAAGTGTTAAAACTTTATTTTCACCATTTTTGGTGAAAACATTTCTAAAATAAATGTGGACAACAATAATTTGGTTGCAAAAAGTAGGTTACAGGATATTAATGATAAAAGATACATTTAGAAAGGGAGACAAGAGAGTCATTATTAATGAAAATAATAATAAGATCTAGCATGTATACAATGCTTTAAGATTTGCAAATATGTGAACATATTTTACATGCTATCCATGTTGTTTCCTGCTATAAATGCAAACTCCTTCAGAGTAGGGACTATTTCTTTTTATCATATTAGAGTCTGTCCATAGCTAAGCACAATGCCTGGCACCCAGTACAATAGGCACTTAATAAACGTTTGTTGATCAGTCGGTCAAACTCAGTCAGTTTGCTAGTGCTTACCGAGTAATGAGTTCTTCTGCAGCCTGTGAACAGAGCTGCATTTGTGTAACTTCCTCTTCTGTGGCTAAATCAATCGCTTGCTGTGAATACAACTGAGGTCGGGGGGGCACCTTAGAAGCATCATACTTTTGTTTGTCTTCCCAAGATTTGAGGGTGTTTTCAAAAGCCTATTGAATTCAATATATAGTGAGTTATTAGCTTATTGTGTTGCATCCAAATTAAATAAGTATCTGAAGAGATTACGTTAATGTTGCATGAAGGCAATCTTTTCCCAATTAAACCTCATATTAAATCCAATGAAAAATGTAGGAAATATATATTTTCATTTTGCTATAAAAACAAAACCAATTTTATATATATATATATATATATATATATGTATGCACACACACATATGTATATATGTTAGTTATGGCATTTAATAAAAACATACAATAGAATACAAATTATTATATATTATATACAATTATATATAAACATATACCCATATCTGTTTTATAGGTATATGTATAATTGTTTTTCTTTTGTAGCAAAATGAAAACATGTATATGTGTGTGACTTAACTGACCTAGCACTGAAATGGCGAAGTGCCTGAATTTTTCATTTTAATCTCTAAGTGACAATAAATATGGGCAGAGAATGAAGTCTATTTTTTTATGTTTTAAGTGTTTAATCTTGGAATTACTGAGCACATGAGTTAATCATAAGCACATGAGCTTATCAAGCACATGAAACTCATTTGAGTTTATAATATTAGAAGAAATCCCAGTCTTTCCTTTATTTTCTATTTTCCAGAATGAGTCAAGTTATGTGTGTTGCTGTTTTTAACAAAAAGCTTTATAGCAAAGTAGACACAGGCAGCAAAATGGTTCCTGTTACATACTCTGTCTCTTGTTAACATCTGAGCTCTGTTCTTGTGCACGATTTTAATAATCCCTGGAGGCTGGATCCATGCCTCTCCATCTACTTGTACTGGCACCCCCTCATCTCCAAGTATGGTGATCTTTACAGACCGACACTGAAATAAAACAAAGATGTTATTTTATGGCACGAATAGCCCTGGATAATAGTCCACCTGCACTCAGCTCCATTTTAAAGGCTGTGGCTTTTAGCCAGGATTATCCAGAGAAGGACAGGCTATTGTACTTTGTTCATCAGTTATGGTAACTCATTAACAGTTGACGTTAAAACAAAGTCAACACTTTATAAATTAGTGTCTGGCATCAGAGTTACTTAAATGATCTCTCTTCTCCCTGGCCCAAGGCCCGCTAGTGGATATTGCAAAAGCCACAGACCTGAGCTATTCGGTGATGCTGCAGTTTTATGACTCTGGACATTGCCATCTGCATGCTACCAAATACCGCAACGACCTCCAGTATCTTGTCATCAAAAGATGGTGCAGTAAATATCTGCAATGAAAATGAATACACATCCAGAGAGAGGCCTAAGAGTTAGACAGTGTTAGGTTACAAGCATGAGGCAAACTTCAGTCTAACAATAAAGCAACTCTTGGAAACAAAAATATTCTGCAGTATAAAAGCACTTATGATTTAAACAATGAAGAGGAATAGAAGGTAAAATATGGAAGCTGGGTCTCTTGTATCAGGACAAGACCTACCAACAAAAAGAACTAGAAAAAAAGTATAAAATTATACACAAAAATATAATGAAAGCAAGCTATTGACATATGGCTTATAAACACTTACAATGATAAGTGTTTCAGGCATCATGTGGATATAACTTCCATGCCTCTCTCCTTAGAAAGCAATCTTTTAAAGTTATTTTGTAGGTGTCAACGTATTTAAATGCTTTATACCAGCATAAAGCAGCTTTCAAAAAATTTCTCATCAAGGGTCTGTGAGTACATCAAAACTCTCTTCCTAAAATGACACATGCCTATTTAGAAAACCCTAAAAGATGTCTAGAAGTGGCAAACACTGAAATTGTGGCCTATCTTAAAGTATTCTAATAGGCTCCATTCATGAAGGAAATCTAACAAATATTATGAATAACAGTGTGCATATAAATTACTTCGTGAATAGTAATTTATTTCTGGTAATTAATGCAGAAACATTACCATATTGTGTGTTTACAGTAACATACATCTCCACAAACCTTTTTATTATGAAATACTTTAGGCTTTTAATCAGTTAGGATGTTTTCCCTCAATCCCATAAGTAGTCCTTTTATGTTAAAAATAATATAATAATCATTCCATACAGAACAAAATCAGGCAATGCATGGGTTATCTTAAACCTGAAGTGGTATCCTAATAAGCATGCATGTGACTGCCTTACTTTATTTCTGACTATTAACATGGAAATAAAATCATTAGTGGAAAATTAATACATTACTTTCAGTAGTAATATCAAGACATATATCTTCCTATTGAGGGCAACAAATTGCCCCAAAATTTGATGACTTACTATCATTTTAGGATCTCTGATTCCTTACAAAAATAGTTAAAGTGCATATCCACGTGTTTCAGAGCTGGAAGGAACCTACAAGACCATCTCGCCTAACATTCATTTTTACATAAGATGAAATTGAAGAATCCCAAAGCTGAAGTGATTTGCCCAAGGTCACAAAGATAGAAAGTAAAAAGCGGAGTCAGGATTCAAGTTTACCATTGGACAGATTCGAAAACCCTTCAGATCAAGTCCCTCTAGTGAGCTCTAAAATTATCTTATTACAATTTTCTTGACCTTGCCACACAAAAAATGACAAAATATCTTTAAATTTCCAAAGTGATCTGCACTTTCCAACTTGTTTTCATATTTCATTTTGTATATTCATGGTAGAAAAATGGGGAAGGGAGTTATAAGAAATCAGAGAGAACAGAAAAACAATAAGCCAAAGATGAGAGGACCTCTTTTTATCTCCACGAAGACAGATTATTAAAGCACAAGTTCTTTTCTGTTATTGTCATATAACTCTTGAAATTGTCTCCTGATCTCAAATTCCTGGCAGTTAAAAGTAAACTCAATCAGAAACCATTTAAATAAAGCACTAAGATAATTTTTTTCAAACTTTAAACTAAAAGAAGGCATATGTCTACCTGTGGTGAGGGTAGATGGGGAGGGGGAAGAGTTAAATTCTTTCATGCAACTTCTGAAGTTCTCCATCACACCCCAGTTCCAGGTACTTTCTCTTTTATTCTCCCTCAACTTTTCAGCTTCCTTTTATGTGTTATTTTCCCCATTAGAATATAAGCTCCCTGAGGAAAGGAATTTTTTGCTTATATTTGTATTCCCACACTTAGCACAGTGCCTGGTACAGAGCAGTGTTTAATAAATGACTGTTGATTGATTGGCATATCTTTCTGTTAATTTTGTAAGTTAAAAAGTCAATAGAATAATTACAACAAAAAGGATCACAATGTTTTTATTGATATATATTTCAAACTACTTATTAATACTACTTACATCATCCTCTTTAGTTCCGCCCCAGAAATTAGTACCTCCAGCATAACTTGGGATATTCAACACTGCTATTCCTTGTAGACTAGGAAGGGGGATATACTGTCCATCACACTGAAATATAAAAGATATGAGTGTGAATGGAAAGGGAAAAAAAACACAGAAAATCAGTTCTTAAGATCTTAAATTTATTGACACCCAAGAGTAAGTAAATATGGAGAATGTTGTTTTCAGTCATGTTAGTTATCTTGCAAATTCATTCCTCCACATTCTGAAGGCCTTAATTTCTAATTTTTTAAAATTAAATACAAATAACCATGGTAAAGAAATCTGGGAAATACTTCACAATTTTTATATCTTTTCATATGGTATTCTGCCCAATTATAAAATCTATAGGAGTTTTTCAAGTATATTGAGTATCTTCCTTGACTAGTAACCAATTCTGAAGACACCCAATAATATGGAGGCAATCATAGGCTCCTAAATGCTATCTCTATGGAGTATATGCTAGAAAGGCTTTGATGACATGCCCTTTGATAGGCTGTATGTCTGCTGTACAAGGACCTAGCTGAGTTTGGAGAAACAGCACTAGTCGGTTGGCTATCAGAAAACAAATTGCATTAACCACAGTAACTTAGTAAACTCTCTATTTAGGAATGGAGGATCACGATTCTCATTGGTAGAGGCAACAGCCACATAGATAAAATGGTAGATCTTTGAAGAATTAAGCACAGGACAACCTAAATCAAAGCACATGTGGAAAAGCATCCTAAAGCACTTACTTTGTAACTCATCACTCACTAAACTACTACTTAAGTGAAAAAGGCTCCAGTGGGTAGGAAAATGTTTTTCCTATTTATTTACTTAAAACACTTTGTCAATTGACTATCAAATTAGTTAACATAAGTAAAATACTTTCCAAGCTTTAAAGCACTATATAATTACTGGCTATTACTGGCTACCATATTATAAGCTATTACTATTATTTTCATTTCACAAAAGTATTCCTTTATTTTAACACATGCACAATTTCTTTAATGTCTTCAATCACTTTATACAGATCAAATAAAAGCTTTATTTGATTCAATAATGGACAACATAGAGGGCAGAGCCAAGATGGTGGAGTATAAGCAGTGACTTGCTTGAGCTCTCCCCCAAACCCCTCCAAATACCTGTAAAAAATGACTTTAAACAAATTCTAAAGCAGCAGAACCCACAAAAAGACAGAGTGAAGCACATTTCGAGCCCAAGACCACTTGGATGGTTGATTGGAAAGGTCTATCACACCCGGCTATGAGAGGAACGCAGTTCACCATGGGCACGCAGGCAAAACAGGCCTCAGAGAACCTGATGCACCCCTCAGAGCACTGAATCACAGGCAGCTGTAGCAGTTTCTAGACTTCTCAACCCACGAATGCCAAAGACAACTTAGAAGATCAGTAGGAAAAGTCTGTGACTGTGGTGAGAGAGAAGCTTGGTCCCAGCCCCAGTCCTCAAGTGGCAGCTCCTTCCAGCCCACAGACTGAGGGAGAATTGGGTGGCTGATCAGAGGGGGATTTGCAGGGATCTCTTTGCTGGTGCCCTCCTTGGATCAGGGTCACAGTTCTAGGTGGTGGTACTGGGGCTAGGAGGAGTGCTGGCATGGTGGAGCTTGTACTGGTGATGGACAGGAAATCCTCCTCACAGTTCCAAGGCAGAAAAGAATACCTGCAGTCACTCATAGACCAGAGCACAGGCCAGGAAGGGAGGAAACACCTCCCCCCCCTTATCATACCACTTTGGAAGAACTGAAAATTTACAGGTCCCTAGAAGTATCTCTGCAAACAGCTGTATAAAACCCCCAAAGCTCGGGACATTACCTTCTCCACACTAGAAGCAGAGCCCCCTACCTTAACAAAGAGTTTATAACTCAAGTAATTGGCTGGGATCATGAGTAAGCAGCACAAAAAGAGACAGACCATAGAATCTTACTTTGGTGACAAAGAAGATCAAAATATACAACCAGAAGAAGACAACAAAGTCAAAGCTCCTACATCCAAAGCCTCCAAGAAAAATATGAATTGGTGCCAGGCCATAGAAGAGCTCAAAAAGGATTCTGAGAAGCAAGTAAGGGAAGTGGAGAAAAAACTGGGAAGAGAAATGAGAGTGATGCAAGAAAATCATGAAAAACAAGTCAACAGCTTGCTAAAGGAGACCCAAAAAAATATTGAAGAAAATAACATCTTAAAAAATAGCCTAATCTAAATGACAAAAGAGGTCCAAAAAGCCAATGAGGAGAAGAACGCCTTAAAAAGCAAAATTGGCCAAATGAAAAAGGAAGTCCAAAAGCTAACTGAAGAAAATACTTAAAAATTAGAATGGAGCAATTGGAAGCTAGTGACTTTATGAGAAATCAAGACACTGTAAAACAAAACCAAAAGAATAAAAAAATAGAAAACAATGTGAAATATCTCACTGGAAAAACAACTTACCTAGAAAATATATCCAGGAGAGATAATTTAAAAATTATTGGACTATCTGAAAGCCATAATCAAAAAAAGAGCCTAGACATCATCTTTCAAGAAATTATCAAGGAAAACTGCCCTGATATTTTAGAAGCACAGGGCAAAATAGAAATTGAAAGAATCCACCAATCACCTCCTGAAAAAGATCCCCATAGGAAAACTCCTACGAATATTGTAGCCAAATTCCAGAGTTCCCAAGTCAAGGAGAAAATATTGTAAGCAGCCAGAAAGAAACAATTCAAGTATTGTGGAAACACAGTCAGGATAACACAAGATTTAACAAAAAAACCCCAAATAATGGACAATATAAATATTTTCCTATAATTAGTTTATTATAATTTCCTCCTCTTCTTTAAACACCATGATTAACTATAACACTTGACTAATTATTTTAAGAAATTAACAAAGTAATAATTTCTTTCTAAACCTAAAGAATTAAATAATGAATTTTATGGTATAAAATTCCCATTGAAAGAAACCCTTTTAAAGTTACATGAATAATTCAATTATTTTAAATCCTACTATACTTCTACAGATATGAAGCATTTTAAAGAAGACAATAAAATTTGGTTAAAAATTACCCTATTGTATATAGATCAAGACAGTAATTCTATATGCAGGAAAAAGTTGGCAGCATGTCATATATACCATAAACAAAATATACATTTACAAAATACTCTGAGCTCAATGCCTGAATGTTGTTTCACAGATTCTCCCAGAAAACACAGGACACAAGGATCATTCTTCTACCAAAAGAGCAAAACAAAATAATTTCACTGGAAAGCTTGTCTAACCTCAGGGTCTATTTTAACTAACAGAATATTCTTCAAAATCCTCCCCATATTTCATGCATTGTCTTACATTAGTATACTTAACTGACTTTTTGTTTCCTGATATTGCAAATTACTATAAAACTATATTAAAACACTTTTCCTAATAATTTTCTTTCCCCTCCTATAGCTGCCCAAATCACTTCATATGTATTTGTATAACTTTGTAAATACATATGTACATGTTCATACAAGTTGTCCCAAAAGTTTTAGTGTAGTTTTAAGCTCTAATGACTTTAGCACTACACTAAGACTTTTGGGACACTCTCTCTATATATGTCTCCCCTAACAGAATGTAAGCTCCTTGAGGTCAGGAAATGCTTTGTCTTTGTATCCCCATCACCTAGCACAGTGCCTGGACTTTAGTAGGTGCTTAAAAAAGGGTCTTTGATTGCTAGAGATTGATCAATTTTAAATGCTAATTACAATTTGCTGTATTTGATGTACATTATCAAACAAGAACATGGCCATTTGGAAAGCCATAACCAACAAAGCAGAACAATTATTTAGGAAATTCAGAAATACAAAAAATCAGTTTCATTAGTGAGTATCAAAAAAAGTGAACATAAAAACAAATCTATAACAGCTGCCTTTAACAGATTTCATTAAAATCAGTCCACATATGAGAGTTGCTTTTAAAAGCTATTCTCCTTTGCTTACTTAACCTTGATGATATATCTGATTCTTGAAGAGGCTTAGAACAATATGTGATCATCATTTTCCACATTCAAATTGTGCAAGCTGCTAGGTGAAAGAAATTGATGTAAATTAAGACAAATCGGTTGCCTTGCCTAACCTTTGCATTTCTTATGCATGGGTACTTTTCTGGCATGAGGAGGGATATAGAAATATCGTAGCTCCTACTCTCAAAGGCTTTGCAATCTAACTGAAAAGACAAAAGCACCAAAGAAAATGACCAGGAGTAGTCTAATGAAGTACCAAATGAGGTAAGATAGAGAAAAGGAGTTTAGGGGAAAGGGGGATGTCTGTTGGACAGAAACGGTCACAGACAGTTCATGGAGGTTGATACACTTGGGTGAAGACTTGAAAGATGTACGTTCTTCAGAGAAGATCTGGATAAGTCTGGACAAAGATGTTACCTACTTTTATGTGCAATCTACAAGGCAAAAGGTATAGATGAAGGATATCCATTCAGCTAGTCCTAGACTGAAGGGTTCCAAAGGCATTGCTTTTATTATGTTTGACTAACCAAAATTATACTTCAAAAGATGATTATTTCTAAATGAAAATATTATTATACACAAAGCCATTATTTCAAATGTGAAAACCCATATGCCAAAGAAACTCAGTATTGTTTCTAGGATGATACAAACAGCCAGTGTACCTTTTGTTTATTTGTCATGTGGACTAATCAATCATTACAATGCTTTTTCATTTATTCATGAATTCTTTCATCCATTCATAATTTACCATTCAGTAGTAAATTCACCATATAATAATAATGGTAGCAATAACAATTTACATTTTATAGTGCTTTTCAGTTATAACATCACCACTTTTGTTGTTCCTATTCAGTCATTTCAGTTTGTCCAACTCTCCATGACCCCATTTGGAGTTTTCTTGACAAAGATACTGGAGTGATTTGTTATTTCCTTCTCCAGCTCATTTTACAGATGAGGAAACTAAGGCAAACAGGATTAAGTGACTGGCCCAGGGTCACACAGCTAGTAAAGTATCTCAGGGCACATTTGAACTCAGGTCTTCCTGACACCAGGCCCAGTGCTCTATCTACTATGCCACCTAGAAAATTGATCACTTG